AATCTGTCTAGTTAGGACAGTGATTGTGAATCCTCCTCTCAGTAGGTTGATCATTTTGTTTCCCACTGTCCAGTCATTGATATACACTCATTTATTAAGAACGAAATGATCTGAGAATGAAATGTTCCCTTAAATTTTTTGAACAGTTTGTATCTGAGGGCTCATCAGATGAAGAGCAGAAGAAAATGTTCTAATATCCACATCTGTTTTCAGTTTTTGCACTTTTTGTGTAATCTTTGATATTTGGTGAGATATTGAATCGTTTAATCTTTTTTTAAACAAAACCATGTGAGAAGTTTACAGGGAAATATCACGATCTGGCGAAGCTGCTAACGACTCATAAACATCTGATATTGTGACTAGAAGCCAAAAACGCTGGTTTAATCTTTTTGTGTTATATGTTAAAAGCTCGTTATCGCATAAAATCTTCAATTTAAAAGTAACTGAAGCTGTCAGATGAACGTGGAGCAGAATATAAAGCATCTCCCTCTGAAATCTGAAGTATCATAACCGACCACACCAAAGATGACTCCAGAGTAACTGTGCTGTGCATCGTGGGCTTCGATCTAAAGCGTTTCTCCCCCTTAACAAGCCACACACATAAACACTGCTTTGTTTCAAACAGCTTTTATGTGGCTGTAAAGTAACATTTGTGTTTAATAATATTTCACTCCCAGTTTCTTGGCAAAAAAAAAAATCTTGGATCAAATTGGATGAGTTGTTCAGGAGCATCCTGCAGCTGTTCTAAAACTCTAGTCTTCCAAAACAGATATTTTAATATCCTGTTGTCATGAACTTTTTTTGTGAGCTTCAGAAACGGAGTGAGACTCTAAACAGCCGTTTCCAAGATCCACAAGATTTGGAAAAAGGGATGCAATCGCTGTATACAGCGGCAACAGTGTGAGTGTTAGAGCCCTTAAATCAGGATTGGAGACGTAGCTCCGAATCCTCACAAAATTATTAAGAACATGCGACCCAATCTGGGTATGTAAGATGCTGTGGGATGTTGCTGCACAACAGGAACGCCGGGTAGAAATGGAGCTTTGAGCAACAACACTTGACTTTGTTAGTGTTTCTTCTGTAACAGATCTTTTAAACACAATGACTCGCATATTTAAATGAATGCTAAACAAATCGGTATTACCTGCTGTGAAGGGAGTAAAATGCTAATCTCTACTTTAACTACATAATTAAAATCTAGCTTTCATTAAGCAGCAACACCTATAGTAAATTCAGAATCAAAGACACTGCAAGGACCCGAGAGATGTGATTAAACATCAAACAATAAAACTGATACAAGAGTGAAACTGAAGCATAGTTGCCATCTTTATTCATAAATAGCACTACTGTATGAATATAAAACAATCTTAAATTACTGCTTCTTCTTTCTTTTTTTTTTAAAACAAATAACTCTGTCTTTTTTTTAATCATTGGAAGCTCCTCAGGGGAAAAAAACCCGCTGACGGACAGTTTAAAGTATTGCATATAGCCTTGGTAGCTGTTAATCACTACACCTTACTGTAGCTGAGTTGATGAACCTTTGACAGAGTGAATAAACAAAAAACAAAAAAAACTGGAACATCTGATACATAACTTACTTCCTCAGGAATATGAAACATAGTCAACGATACGTAAGTAAACAAAGACTGAAAAGAGTGATCCGCCCACTTCAATTTGAAGTACAATTTAGTCAGCAAGTCATTCAATACAAAAAAAAAACAACAAATAAAAAGTTGGTTAAACAAGTAAAAAAAAATACATCAGCCAAATAAAAGAAAAACAAAAAAAACATTCTAAAAAAAAAAAACTTCAATCCAACTCCAGCCTTTCTGTTAAGAGTTAAAATGCCTAGTTATGCCTCTGCAATGAGATTTAAAAAAAAAAAAAAAAAAGAAAAAGTTAAAATCTCAATTGCGAGTCACAAAAATATACAATCTAAACTAGGATTCAGCGACAGTAGGCACTCCTGTGTTTGACGAGTGAGGTAGCTAGACAGTAAGAACTGTACACAGGCTGAGATTTAACGAAAGAGACTGAAACAGAGTAAGAGTGGAGTATTGCAGCAGAGGTGAACAATATTCCAGTGATCAATGCTGAGTCCCTCTCCTTGGTTTTTTTAGTCACAGTATAGAAGGTAGAATTAAGAATGGATACAGGCAAACCCTCTCAGTACACACTCGAGCGCTGTACACAATGAAATGTCTACTAAGTAGAAGGGTCTTCACCTCATCCTCTCACTCTCGGTCATCTGCCACAGCCCCAGGTTCAACACTTTAAGGCACGGGAGCTGCGTTATCCTCTCCAGACCTCTCTTGGTGATCTTCGTACAACCGTACAGGTCGATCCCCGTCAGCTGGGTCAAGTGGTCAGCTATCAACTCCAGCCCTTTGTCCGTGATTCGCACACACTGTCCGATGTTCAGAGTCTTGAGTTCGTGCATCTGGCGCACCATCCTGTTGATGCCATCGTCGCTGATGTGACAGGAGCACAGAGACAGGGACTTGAGCTGGTACAGGCCCTGGGCGATGTAAGCCAGGCTCTGGTCTCCAATCTTATCACAGAAGGAGACATCAAGTCCGGACAGCCGGAGGGAGCCCATAGCCAGATGCATTATCCCAGTGTCACTGATGTTATCGCAGGAGCGCAGGTTCAGGCTGCACAGGTGGGTCATGTGTGACAGGTGGATCATCCCTGCATCCGATATCCCCCCACAGAAGCTGAGGTTGAGCACTTTAAGCTTGTTTAGGCCCTTTGAGACATGTTTGAGAGAAAGGTCAGTCAGCTTCTGGCAGTCCTGCAACGTCAACTTCTCCAGGGACAGGCAGCCCTCTGCAGCGCTGCGGGTCATACCTGACAGGTGACCGATGCCCACATCCGACACATGCCTGCAGCTGCGCAGGTTAAGGCTCTTGAGTCTGTGCAAGCCCCAGGCAATGAGCAACAGGCCCGTGTTTGTGATATTGCTGCATCCCCCGAGTTCAAGCACCTCCAGGTTTTTGAGGTACTGGGCGATCCGGCCCAGGCTGGAGTCAGTGATCTGTTTACAAAGGCTGAGGTTCAGGACCCGCAGTGATGGGATGTCCTGCACAAAGGCATGTCCCAGACCATTGTCTGTCAGGTTAAAACATCCACACAGGTTAAGGCTTTCGATGTGCGGCATCCCCTGAATCACGTAGCTCAGACTGCGCCTCAGGCTGAGGATCTGCACCTTCTTGATGCCCCTGGTCTGCAGGCTGGGGAACAGAGACGGGTTGGCTCGCCGCAGATGGAGCTTGGCTTCCACCCCCCTCCACACAGACTTGTGGTAGGACGCGTCTCTCCAGGCCACGCACACTTGAGCTACTCTTCCTTTGTCTTTAACGTCCAGGTAACTGAATATAATGGCCAAAATTTCCGGGAAAAGGCACGATATATGCGTCTCCATCTCGTACATGTCTGTGGGTGGACTCCTGTGGGCAGCGGCGGTTGCTTGTTAGCGACAGTACAGTCCTGTTAGCGCCCCGAAACTCCGCTGCCGAAGTTGCTGTCTGGCCCGGCAACGTTAGCAAACGTCAGCTAGCGCACGAACATGCTAACTATAGCCAGTTAGCTTTGTGAGTAACATGTCAGAATCCACCCATGTCGGAGGAGCAAACCACAATGGCTAGATGGAATAAAACGATGACACAAAGTGGCTACTAACTGCGCGGCTGTGGCGTTGACGCAGATGTAGAAAAGTCCGAAAGGCAGCCGTAGTATTTACGTAGCGGGCGAAGCTAACAGCAGCAAAGCGGCGGCGTAGCGTCAGCTAGCTGTCGAAACTTGTGAGCGTCAAACGCCGAGCAACCTCCTCGTCCGAGACGTCCGGAACAACTTATTCTTTACTCCAGCTCATCGCCGAGCGTCTCCAAAACTTTTCTATGAGTAGAAACTTTCATCTCAAGAGGTGTTTTCTCGTACAAAGACAGCTGCCTGGCTTCTTTACCTTCTGTGGCATTTCCAGCAGCGTCGGAGCATCCCGGACCTCTACAATGAATAAACCGACTGTGTTAGCTGCTAGCAGCGTTAGCTTCAGCAGCGGCCCCTAGTGGAGCCAAGCAGCATCGTTATAACTGGCTCTGTTCAAACAAAAAAAACAAAACAAAACTGAATATATAATGAATGGCAGGGTGGATCATTAGAACACACGTGTTGTATGTTTGTTCTTTATTTTTGTGCGCACGTTGTTTCAGTTAAAGCTAATGCAAATCTGTCTAAATGCATAAATAAAAGAACAATGTAGGTTTTACGTGCTGCTGCTGCATTATTAATAATGGTGGCTTCAGATTAGAATGACAAGTTTATTGTCCAGGTTTGCAGACACACAGCTTTTATAAACAGTGACAAGAACAAACACACAGATAAACAAAGTTAGCAAAGCTGAACTTGGCAGCGTGTGTGTACAGAGAAAGTGAATATAAAGATAAAATTAAATCAAACAAGCAGACTGTCTACATGAATATTGTTTGGCAGGTAGTTGAAGTTGTTATACAGGAGCACAGAGGTGCCAGTGGGGCCTTGGATCACTGGAGGCTCAGCTCAGAAATCTTTAGTTTTTAATCTCATAAGTGAAACATTTTCAGCTCATTTTAGATCAGGGATCTACTGTCCTGCAGGTTTCTGTTCTGCAACACACCTGATTCAAATGAATGGATC